CTTCAAAAACAATTACAAACTGAGTCTGGCCCTTACCATCTGCGAAAGATTCAAAATCTCATTGCTGTAGCATTATATACTTGGAATTATTTAACCTTTTTAGATTCTCTTGCAGACTCACCTGTTAATTTACATTTTTGAACTACTGAATCTTTAGCAAGGCCTTTGGTAAATTATTGCCAAGCTCCAGATCCAACCTGGAAAGGCCCTACACCGCTGATCACCTGGGGGCGCGGTTACGCTGCCGTGGAAGATCCTTCTACTAGACAAGCAGTGTGGGTTCCAGCACGCTGTGTTTGTCTGTATCATGGCATGGCATCAGGGCCTTCACAACCTGATTCCGGATTTCTTCATCTGAATACAGAAGTTCGGCTTCCAAGGTTGAAACGCCCGCAACCCATCACTTGGGGACAGGTTAAATCTACTACATATCAAGCTCAACAACAACTGCAACAGGCCTCATTACCTCAGAATCCTGAAAATCTTGTTGCTGATGTTTTTGCTATTATTACTGCTAATTCTGTTACAATTTTACTTTGTATTTTCTTGTTTATGGTTAATGGTGTTTCTGTTCAAAATGACACTTCTGTGGTTCGTCTTAAACCTAATTTGTGGGCTTGTCATGCACAATATGTTTATGACCCATGGCACAAATATTACTTTATACTATGAGCCCCAATGGCATTTGGTCAAATTTCTTTTACCTCTAACTTGATCATGTCTTCTACATTTATTGTCTCACAACTATAATCTATTTCACACTCTTGGCTATTTTCTAAACCCCCTATGCAATTGAATTCTGTCTGTTGGCCTTACTTGAAAGTTAGTCAATTTACAAGGGGTCTGTGTTTCTGTTGACACGCTAAACACACTTGGCTTCATAATTGGTCTGATTATGATGCTGCTCAGCACATTAAAAAAAAAAAAACTAGGGAATTATGGTTATTGTTCTAACTACTATTGGTTGTCAGGTACCTTTAATTCTTCTTTGTATGGACTTAATATAGCTCCTGATATGTATCCTAACAATTTTCCTATTTTTAATGCCTCTGATCACTCTAATACAGGATCGATATGCGCTGGGTGGCAGCTTAAAGATCCTAATATGTGGTTCTTTTTTGATAAATATGCCACCAATGTACATCCTCAGAATTATCAATGTGCAGCTATAGGTTATTTTACTCTACCTGTTCAAATAGGTACACTCCCATCAACTCGACAGCGGCGTTCCTCTCTGGGGCCTACATGTAATGATGAAGTTATTATTGACACACAATTGTCTTCTGGTTCTACATTTGGCTGTGCATTGGCAGGGGCCGTTACAGGAGTCATTACTCTAGGCTCTTATCCTGGCATAATTGCTCAAGAAAACAGACGATCTATTCTTAGTCTCACCTACAGACTTGAAAAATCCATCAATGCTACTGCTGCTATTATTCGTGATTTGCAGCATGAAATAGAAGACTTAAATCAAGATGTCTTACAGCAACGTTTTGCCATAGACTATCTTTTAGCCCTTCAAGGCGGGTTCTGTAAGTTAGTTGGACACCGTGGATGTGCTGTGCATTTTCATTCATTGAATAAAACTATTGAGGATGAGCTTGTCAATTTACAATCCTACATTCAAAATAATATCCATGCTCAGTACTCACCTTTTGAGTGGCTAACCAATTGGCTCCCTGATTGGTCTTGGCTCAGACAGTTTTTCTTTTATGTTATAATTATTATTTTTTTTTAAAAAACAAGTTTTATTAAAAGTTTCAACAACAAACAAATCATTACATATTAAATCTTTCCCTGTCTTTCTACAATAATTTCCCCAATATTCTCATAAAACACAAACAAACACAAACAAACATAAAAAAAATCTTTTAGTAAAGTACCTTGGCCCCAGTTACCTCTCTTTGCATGGGCTAAAATAATAGCGCATATCACTCTTCACAATTCTATCTTATTTAATCCATCTTAATTAAATCATTAAATTTGTATCTTTTGCCCATTCATTATCCCTCTATCTCTTCTTATAATAAAAAGAATTTCTCCTGAAATCACTAATCAGAGTATGATGCCTTTCTATCCTCCCCCTAAGTTAGTAAAATTAACATTCAACATAACAAATACCCAATTTAGTTCTGCTTGGTACATTCTATCCACCAAAAATGTTTAAATACATTGTATCCTCCTTTCCTTCGATATTTTATTACATTTTAAAAATCAATCATTATTAAAAACTTCAACATTTTAATTTCTTATTAAATCTTAAACCATTCTAATTTACTATTTCAAATATAAATGTTACAATACCATCTTCTGTACCTTAGCAGAATCTTTCTTACAGAAATTTATATTTCATCCTTTGTCTCTAAAAAAAATCCCTCTTCTCCCATCCAATTTTAAAGCTTTAAGGCTTTTCTCCGCCTTTCCCCTTTCTTTCTTCCCCCACCAAATCTTCCTACCCCCCCTTCTTCTTCTAACCTCTGCCTTGCTGGGATCCCTTCTCTGTTGTGTTCCCTTTTTCTCTTGTTTGTTATCATTATATTTACTTTGCATCATATTTTTCTCTTTCTCAAATGTTTTTTTAGATCTTAAGTCCTTCATTTTCCTTGCTCTCTTCCTTCCTTCTTCCTTAGATAAGTTTTGGGATTCAATGAAGATGGCGTCTTCGTCTCTTCCTTGTTGTTCTTCTTCCGTTTCCATCTGTTCCATTGTCTGTTGGTAATTGACCAGCGCCATTTCTAGAAATAAAAAAGCTTTTTCCATGCCATCTTTGCAGGCTGCTTTTGTTTGCTCATATTCATCCCTCAGGTCTTCAAAAAGGAAAGCCATTATAAATAAATCTTTTCTTTTCTTTATTCCTCTTTCTTCTTACACCAACCAAATATTCCGAGAGAAAGGCAAAACAATCCCAAAATCCACAATCCTCAATAAATCCAAGCAAGCCAAAATTCCCCCTTCCTCTTCCAGGGGTGGTATCAAACAAATAAAAAAAAGAGTCCAAATCTATATTTTAAAGCCTTATTAAGATTATATTTCTGTCCTCAAGTCTTCAAGGCATCTCCTCCAACAAGATCCAAATTTATATATTTTCTTTATCCTCTCCCTTCCGGCTTAATTCCGTCGGGAGGGAGAGTAAACTTTCCCTTCAGCACCTCAAAATAGCCGCTTTTTTTTTCTCTTGTGGAAGAAATCATCAGAAAACCATCTTTTCCAGGAATTAAATTAGATAAATCTCAAAGCCCTGGGTCGACCAAGAAGAACTTTCACTTTCAATAACTTTCTCTTCTTCCTCCTGCGCATACTTGCCCGGCTGTCAACTTCTTTGTGGCGGCCATTGCGGACCGCCGCTGTACCGTCCTGGTAAAAGGGGGTTCTGCCGGCCAGGGAGGGGGTCTGCAACACCCCCAAACCCTTCCTCCGGATCCCCCTTACCTTCAGCTACCCCTGCAGGGCAGCCTTTCTCCGCACCCGTCCGGGTCGGAGCCCCAAAACGGCTAGCGCGGCAGGGATCGCGCAGCTTCGCGAATCCCTACCGCTCGCGAAGCCGACAAACCGGAAACCCCTATGTTATAATTATTATTATTGTACTAATTGTAACCTGTTGTTTTATTCAATGTATTCCAAATTTGTTTGCATTGTTTCGTTCTACTTCCTCTTCTTTAACTCCTTTACAGTTGCGATACATTCATAAATCTTTGAATCCTCCATTTAAAATAAAAAACGAGGATATGTAGAGTTGTAATTGCAGGAACGCTCTTATCTTGGATGGCAAACCTCAGATAAGGACAAAAGCAAATACAACTCAGACAAACAAAATCACTAATGCAAGTAAGGATTAGAGAGAGGAAGTAAACGTGTTAGACTTTGACTAGAGATAATTAATTGTGTTAATTACTATGCTAGACAGTAACAGAGGCTGATCAACAACCAAAGTTAACCAATGTTAGAGGATTACTAGAAATGTGTATAAATACAAGACTAGACTCCAATAAAGTTCATCATGATTCATTTGATCATGGTCAAACACCTCGACTGCCTCATCATTGCAACAGCTCAGGTGGCCTTCAGTCTTCTTGGGGATCTACTTGGCTGCTTTCCCATCCAAATTCCAGCTGGATATGACCTTGTTTGTTTGTTTGTTTATTTATTTGTACTCCACCTTTGTTACTTTTGCAAATAGTAGGCAGCGGACATATCCAACACACCTTCCTCCTCCTATTTTCCCCACAGCGACATTCCTGAGAGGTGGGTTGTGCTGAAAAAGAGGGACTGGGCCAAAGTCACCCTACTGGCATTCATGGCTGAGGAGAGACTAGAACTCACTGTCTCCTGGTCATTGGCCCAAAGTCACCAAGCTGGTGTTCATGCTTAAAGTGAGACTAAAATTTCCCTGTCTCCTGGTGATTGGCCCAAAGTCACCCAGCTGGATTTCGTACTTAAGGTGGAACTGGAACTCACCATCTTCTGGTGACTGGCTCAAAGTCACCCAGACAGTTTTTGTGTCTAAGATGAAACTAGAACTCACCATACTCCTGGTGAATGACCAAGGTCATCTAGCTGGCATTCATGCCTAAAGAGAGACTAGAACTCACCGCCTCCTGGTGATTGACCCAAAGTCACCCAGACAGTGTTCGTGCCTAAGATGAGACTAGAACTCACCAGACTCCTGGTGATAGATCAAGGTCATCCAGCTGACACTCATGCCTAAGGAGAGACTAGAACTCACCATCTCCTGGTGCTTTAACCATTAGACCAGGTACCTTCCTTACCTTCACAAACTCAGCCCAGGTTGGCTAAGTACCTCCATCAGACATGTTGACTCCATTTGCCCCTTCTGAAGGTGTCGGGACTGCCACAATTTCTGCCCCCTCTAAGTGGGGAACTAGATTGTATTTTTCAGCAGTTGTGATTTGAAAGCTCTCGGAGGGTTGCAAAAGAACTTTTTGGGAACCAAGAATCCACTCCCTGCAAACTTCTAATTTTCTGGATCTCTCTCCTTCTAGGGCTATGAAGAGGCCTCGTTGTGGTGTCCCGGATAAATTTGGAGCGGAAATTAAAGCCAACGTGAGGCGCAGGCGCTATGCGATCCAGGGTTTCAAGTGGCAGCACATGGATCTTAGTTTCTGGTAAGACACAAGCTGTTGTTATTTTTGTTAAATTCTGCATAAGGGGCCAGGAAAGAAAGAAGTTAGAAAACAGGGTGGGGAACAAGAGTTAATTTGAAATCTTGTTGGCTGGGGAATTCTGGGAGTTGAAGTCTACCATCTTAAAGTTGCTGAGGTTGGACTTCCTGGCTGAGAAGTTCTGGGAATTGAAGTCCACCCATCTTAAAATTTCCGAGGTTGAACTTCCCGGCTGAGGAATTATGGTAGTTGGAAGTCCACCCATCTTAAAGTAAAAGAATGCACTAGATCAAAGATTTCTTATATCTTCCTCATTAACTTATGGAGATGTTAAAAGCAATGATCAAAGGAATCAAAATAAGATGGAGTATTGATTAATAAGGCTGAGAAGAGAGGGAGATCTTGATCTATCACTCAGAGAAGTAAAAAAATGAGGTTGGGAGATACAAGTGAGCCGGTTAATCTATCCAACACATCATAACAGCTTTGCTAACCTGAGGTCCTTCAGCTGTGCTGGAACCACAACCTCAAAAACATGGATTTCTGCCTGGAGCAAGGGGTTAGACTAGAGCAGGGGTCTTCAAACTTGACAGCTTTAAGACTTGTGGACTTCAACTCCCAGAATTCCTCCTCCAGTCATGTTAGCTCAGGAATTCTGGGAGTTGAAGTCCACAAGTCTTAAACTTGCCAAGTTTGAAGACCCTTGGACTAGACTAGAGGATCTCTAAAAACCTTTTTCTTTCTATGAATTTATGGGGCGCTAGTTGACAATTCTGGCAGCTGAACTCCCAAGACACCTAGATAACATTAGATTATAGTACACAAAGTTGTGGATTGTGAAGGGTCTTGGCAGTAGACAAGTTGTCTTTTCATTCAGGAAACAAAAAGCTGTTGTGTGAAGCAAACCCAGTTTGTAGATCCTGGTTAGAGATGTAAAACTGTGGGATGGACTCAACCGTGGCTCTAGAACCTCATTTTTTTTGCCTCTATTGTAGCATCCAGAACTACACGCCCAAGGTTGGTGAACAGGCCACCTTTGCTGCGATCCGACGGGCCTTCCACGTCTGGCAATCGGTGACACCACTGCGTTTCTGCGAGGTGCCTTACTTGTCCATGCGGGAAGGCCGGGAACCACGGGCAGACATCATGATTTTCTTCGCTGACGGCTTCCATGGGGATAGCACCCCATTCGATGGCGAAGGCGGCTTCTTGGCCCATGCCTACTTCCCGGGGCCCCACATTGGTGGCGACACTCACTTTGACGCGGCTGAGCCTTGGACCTCTCGCAACGATGACCTCAGCGGTGAGGGTGGGATTATGGGGCAACCTTGATGCAGGTGGGGATGGAGACTGTGTCCCTTGGAGGAAACCAGAAGCCAGAGAGATTGTGCAAGTGACTCGCGAATGGTGAACCATCCGTGGTTAATCCCATCTGCGCTATTCACTTGCTCGGGACCCAACAGAACATTGCTTCTCTTTTCTACTTCTCTAGACTTCCTTGATCACGTTCTTGGTTCCCTTTGCCCCATCCTGTGTGAGAACCTTTGGGGTCACAACTGGGGGATGCCCGTAGAAGAGGCTCCATCCTCCACCTCCTCAAAGTTTTGCTGAGCTACGTAGTCCTGATTTTCTGCTGTGAAGCAATCTCTCTCTCTTCCACGGTTCCTGCAGGTTGAGGGAAGTTGCAACAGCTGAAGGATGAGATAGGGTTTTTCAACAGCGCCCTCGGCCCCGAGTTCATTTCTTGCCCTCTGCCTTTCAGGAAATGACATCTTCCTGGTCGCCGTCCATGAGTTGGGCCACGCACTGGGGTTAGAGCACTCGAATGACCCTTCCGCCATCATGGCTCCTTTCTATCAATGGATGGACACGGAGAACTTCAAACTGCCAGAAGATGACTGGCGGGGGATACAACAGCTCTATGGTATAATATAATAACTGAGTAGGAAAGGACCTTGGAAGTCTTCTAGTCCAACCCCCTGCTCAGGCAGGAAACCCTATACCATTTCAGACAAATGGTTGTCCAATCTCTTCTTAAAAACTTCCAGTGTTGGAGCATTCACAACTTCTGTAGGCAAGTCTTTCCACTGGTTAATTGTCCTCACTGTCAGGAAATTTCTCCTTAGTTCTAGGTTGCTTCTTTCCTTGGTTGGTTTCCATCCGTTGCTTCTTGTCCTGTGTTTTGGAGAATAGTTTCACTCCCTCTTCTTTGTGGCAGCCCCTGAGATAACACTGGTATCATGTCACACGTAGTCCTTCTTTTCATTCAACTAGACATACCCAATTCCAGGTGCACAATCCTATAGCAATCTCCTGATTCCTCCATCAGCTTCATATTTTTGTTCTTCTCTTTCTTTGACGTCTCCAATCCTAGCAAATATAGAGACCACTAAATTTAGTCCAGGTTGGAGGCAGCTGTTTCTCTCAGCGCTACCAATGGAAGCCTTTCAAGAAGAGGTAAGCCATGATTGCTGGTCTACTACTTCCATCATTTGTGATCACAAACTTCCTTTTATTTTTCATCCTTGCTTTGTTCAGGATGAAAAAAAAAACCTGTATTACCTGACACTGGGCTGGCTAGAGGCTCTGTTAGAAATTATGCGTACCTTACCTGTTGACCAGGTGTGAATTAAAAAAAGATTACCCAGTTGGTAAGGAATAGCTTCATACACACATATCCTTCATGGTATTCCTTTGGAGGTAAGCAGTGCTATACAGAGTTTAGGATTAAAAAAATAAAAAAATCAGAGCCATGAAATTAGAAAAAGAGAAGGAAATAACCCTGAAATTTTCTTGCCACCAAACCTTCACTAGGTCCTCTGTTGAGGTAATTCCCCGTTAGGAGAATGAGCGCATACAGGGAGACGTATTTGAGAGAAGTGTTTGAATAATACACACACAGCACACAGATACACTGTACAGTAAATGTAGGTTTTTACTTCCAGAAACGTTAAGCAAAGTCCAAATAAGCGATCCAAAGTCATTCACAGTTAAATCAGTCAGTGTTCATTTCAGGGATAATTCCAATATCAAAGTCCAGTGTCAAAAACAGTTCAGTAACAAACTTACATCAAATCCAGTAATAGCAGTCAATTAGAAGAAATGGAAGAAGGGCAATACTTTCCAACAGAAGGAAACACAGATACACTCACACTCTCTTCTGAGACTAAGACTAAACAACCCAGGTTTCTGGCTCCATCTTATGGCCGTTTCAGAAACCACACCTAATTACAGTTTTTCATTTTCTTAAAGATACAGTTTTAAAATGTTTATCCTGGTTTATATATTTCTGACCCAAATACCTGTTAGGTGACTTATATTCCTAACATCCTCCATGGATTTTTCTCTCTTCTTCCCCAAACACCATTTCAAGCATAGCCTTTTGTTCTTGGTCAACTCAAGAACGTCCAGAATGGCAAGGTTTGATTTTAATCCTTTCTGGAGGGAGCCTTGACCATTCTTAGTTGTGTTCCTTAACTCATAGATAAGTGTTCTTCACTCCAGAACCCACCCTGAGTTGGATTCAACTCCCATCATCCTCAGCTGGTGGTTGTGGAGATGGGAGATTGTCCCTGGGGAGGACAATTAGAGAAGCTTCTATCTAGCCATCTCAGATTTTGGAATTCAGGGGAAACTTTGGACCAACTCTTTCCTTCCTTCTCTTCAGGATCTGAAGGTGGCCATCCCACCAAACCTCCCCTGATCCCTCGGACTACTCCAAAACCCCGAAACCCTCACGGGCCACCCAAGAACTCGACTTATGGCCCCAACATCTGTGACGGACGGTTTGACACCATTGCGGTACTCCGGGGCGAGATGTTTGTCTTTAAGGTGAGATGTTTCGAGAGGGTTTAGCATCGCAGAACAGAGAGGAAGGTTGCTGGGTGGGTGGGAGATGCCACATCCCCAAATATTTGGACCAATTGCGTCGTTCTGCGTGGGGCAGAATTCTGCAACTGAATCCTGCATTTGAAAAAATATATATTTTTGTCAGAAACTCAGCCCACTTTTCCATGAAATTAACCACTGATGGGTTGCTGTGTTTCTCTTATTAGAAAAGACTCCATTCAACTTTATCTGGATTATAGGTAGACTCGATTTAGGGCCATAATTGAGCCTGGAATTATGGTTGTATGTCATACTTTTCTATAATCACCTATCCCTGATCTATGCTATCTGTATTTAATAATTTTTAGACATGAAGATGCCTAGATTTGAATTTCCCAAGGAAATGAAGCCTGCTGACATTTCTTTTCATTTGCATAACTTGACTGATGCAATGAAGATTTCACCTTTTTCAGGATAAATGGTTTTGGCGAGTACATAACAACTGTGTGATAGACGGATATCCCCTCCCGATCGGTCAATTCTGGGTTGGTCTTCCTGCCTCAATCAACACAGCCTACGAGAGGAAAGATGGGAAATTTGTCTTTTTCAAAGGTTAGTGGACTATGTTTTGGGCCTGAATGGCAGAGCCAGCAAGATTACAGAGCGTGAAGAACAAATTTAAAACTCTCGCCTTTCTCTACATAGTCTCCTAGTTTTTGCAAACTGAGCCTAAAATGTGAATTTGTGACCTGCCCATCAATTGTAAATCATCAGCAAATCATACAGGTAGTTTTCAACTTACGACCATAATCGAGTCCTCGATTTTTATTGCTGTCAGATGAGCCCAACTCAAAATGCACTGCAATTAAGTTATTTGATTTGACAAGGTAACAAGCCAGTTCTCATTTCCAAGTTTACTGGAATGAACAAAGGAACGTTCATGATTCTGTTTGCATCAGAACTACCTGAAGCCACCAATGATATACAACTCAGACATGGGGTTTCAAGTTATTCATTTTTCAATTTGACCTTAAATGAATCAGAGAGCCAACAGAACAGAACACTATAACAGAGTTGGAAGGGACCTTGGAGGTCTTCTAGTCCAATCCCCTGCTCAAGCAAGAGACCTTATACCATTCTAGACAAGTGGTTGTCCAGTCTCTTTTTAAAACCCTCCAGTGATGGAACACCCACAACTTTTGGAGGCAAGTTGTTCCACTGGTTAATTGTCCTCACTGTTAGGGAATTTGTCCTTAGTTCTAGGTTGCTTCTCTCCTTGGTTAGTTTCCATCTGTTGCTTCTTGTCTTGCCTTCTGGTGCTTTGGAGAATAGGTTGACCTTCTCTTCTTTGTGGCAACACCTCAAATATTGGAAGACTGCTATCATGTCTCCCCTAGTCCTTCTTTTCACTAGACTAGAGAAACCCAACTGCTTTGGATGTTTCTCAAAAAAATCCCAGAGATACTAAGCATGGCTGGTTGCCTGTCTTCTCCTTGCAGGAGACAAACATTGGGTTTTCAACGAAACCAACTTGGAGCCAGGATACCCGAAACATATCAAGGAGTTAGGAAGGAGGCTCCCCACGGATCGCATCGACACTGCTCTTTTCTGGATGCCAAGTGGGAAAACGTACTTTTTCCGGGGAAATAAGTGAGTTGGCCAAATGTTTATCATCTTCGTTTCTGTTAGGTGGATAAGGGATTATCCCAGAGTATTAATGGATGTGGTCCTTGATTTACGACCACAATTGAGCTTAGAAGTTCTGTTGCTAAGTGAGACAGTTGTTAAGCAAGACAGTTTGCTCCATTTTACAACCTTTCTTGCCACAGTTGTTAAATTAGTAGCTGTTGAATGAATCTAAAATGTAGAAAAAGCACCTTTGGAATAAATAAATCTAGCTTTGCTTGTCAGAAGGCTGCAAAAGATTTAATGATTGACATTGCAGCCTTCCTGAAGGTTTTTATGAAGCGGATGTCAATTTCACACACAGTTCCCATCATAGAATCGTAAGAGTTAGAAGGGACCCTCGAGGTCTTCTAGTCCAACCCTCCCTTAAATCGGCCTCTTTTTCGTTCAATGGATCTCAACGTTCTCTTTTTGCAATGCAGGTATTATCGCTTCAATGAGGAGACCCGATCCGTCAACGCGGATTACCCTAAAAACATTGATGTTTGGGGGGGAATTCCCGACTCACCCCAAGGTGCATTTATGGGCAGTGACGAAGGTAAGATACAGAAAAGAAAGAATGTGGAGAAAATTAAAATCTCTTAGCAAGAGCGTTGAAAAAGAAACTGCTTTTGTACCATCGAAAGCATTCCCACTATCTACCGTATTTGCCGGCGTATAAGACGACTTTTTTGCCCTGAAAAAGATGCCTCCAATTGGGGGGGTCGTCTTATATGCCGGGTCGTCTTATACGCCGGCAAATAGTAATTGGGAAGCACTGCGGCTGCCCGCGGCTGAGGCACTTTTGCGCACCGTGGAAACGAATCCTGTGAAGCCGAAAGGAGCAGCCAGCCTTCTCCCAGCTCCCAAGGAAACGAGGCTCGCACCGCCCGAGCTCCGCTGAGGTATCCGGCTGGGGCTGTCAGGAGTTGTTACCGCTGGCGCGGCTCCGCGCAGCTCCAGTCCCGCGTTGCCTCGGGAAGGGAAAGGCAAAACCAGGAGCCGCTGCTGCCATTGCAAAGCGCCGCCGCGGCTCCTCCTTTTTGCCTTTCCCTTCCCGAGGCAACGCGGGACTGGAGCCGCACGGAGCCGTGCCAGCGGTAACAACTCCTGACAGCCCCAGCCGGATACCTCAGTGGAGCCCGGGCGGTGCGAGCCTCGTTTCCTTGGGAGCTGGGAGAAGGCTGGCTGCTCCTTTCGGCTTCACGGGATTCGTTTCCACGGTGCACAAAAGTGCCTCAAAAAAAAAAAAGTGCAAAAGTGGAAGGCGTGCGGAAGAGGGGGCGAGTATATAACAAACTATATTTTGAGTGGAAATGTTGGGGGGTCGTCTTATACGCCGGGTCGTCTTATACGCCGGCATATACGGTACTAATTTTTTTTGCAAATTGTCCCCCTACTGTTGAAAGTAAAAACTCTCATCCACCATGTTGGGTGGGTAATAAGAGCATGTCCCAAAGGTGTTTTTTCCAAAGCCAACTACACTGTGTTTTTCCTTGAAAACGTTTCACTTTTCATCTCAGAAGCTTTTGACTGAATGGTGGACAATGGAAAGATTTATATTCCTTGCAGTCACCTGGTTGTTAGTACTCTTTCTGTTAGTACTCTTTCTTTGCAAAGAGGTGTGGAACTATTCAGGTGACCCTGAGGGCACAGATACATCTCCAAGTGGCCTCAACGACTCTCAGAGAGAGAACTAACGACTAGATGGCTGCAAGGAATATAAATCCTTCCATCCATTCTTCAGTCAGAACCGAAGAAGCTGTTAGATTTTGCAGCAGAAATTCAAGTCCAGAAAGCTCACAGATGACTGATTCAGCAGGATCATTAACTTCTTTATAAACATAATAATATGAGTAACGTTTACAATACCATTTGTAGATTCTTTCAACGTAACATAAGCAAAAACACAAGCAGCAGCACCTCAGAGCAGATATCAGCAAGCAAGTTAGTTTCACTTTCAGAATTGAGAGCACTGAGCTAAGCCACGCCCAGACGCCCTCAATTCAGCTCCCATTGGCTGACTTTGTTAACGATGTCTCTGCCAGTTAATGAATATACTCTGACACTCCTCCTCTCATAACTGGAAGAGACATAAATCCAATTAACTTTATATTCTTCCCGTGGTGTACTCCACCCAATGGCTTGGTCATTATGTCTTCCAAATTGTCTTCTGACGCATAGTGAAGCAAGCTAATAAATTTACCTTTGATGGCTTCTCTTATGTCCACATGCTTGCTTCTATTTTTTACTGTCACCTGTTGCCATTTTAATGCAGGCAGCATTGTCCTCATAGACTAATACCAGTTCAGTTACCTTTTAATTTAAATCCTGTAACAGTTGTACATACCAAGTTACCTCTGAACAGAGTTCAGACAAAGCAATAAATTCTGCCTCCGCAGCAGAAATGGCTACAGTTGTTTGCTTTCTGGACTTCCAACCAATTAAAGCCCCTCCAAACAATATCACAATCCCAGAATTGGACTTTCTGGTTTTTACATCATTTGCATAATCACTATCAATATAGCATTTCAATTTTAATTCTTCAGTGACCTGTATTTGAAGACCCAAATTCATAGTTCCCTTCAAATACCCAAGAATCCTTTTTACACCCATCCAATGCAATTGCGTTGGTGCAGCAGTAAAGCGACTCAAAATGCTTACTGCACAAGCTATGTCTGGTCTGGACCACTGTGACAGATATAACAGGCTCCCTATTGCTGACTGATTTATCTCTTGGTCACAGGCTTCACTTTTGTCCTCACCCAAACTGTTATGAAAATCAGTGTTTATAGGCGTTGGAGCAGTATTACAATCTTTCATGTTATATCTCTCCAACAATTGTTCAATTTCCCTTTTTTGACTGAGAATATAAGCACCTTTCTCCGTTTTTTGTATCTCCACACTGAGATAATTTTTTATTTCTCCCAAATTCTTTAATTCAAATTTCTTCTCCAACTTCTTAGCAAATTCATTTACCTGTGATACATCCTTTGCAATGAAACAAAGATCATCCACAAATGCTAATAATTGACAATCCCCACCTTGTAACTTTCCAGTGTATATGCAACTATCAGCTTTGCAACTCTTGAACCCAAGACCTTTCAATGCTTTATCTAGACATATATTCCAATTCCTGGCTGCTTCAGCCCATAAATGGCCTTGTTCAATTTATACACCGTGTTAGGCTTTTTACTTTCATACCCTGGTGCTTGAACCATGTAAATTTCTTCCTCTAATTCTGCATTGAGGAATGCAGTGGTTATGTCAAAATGCCACATTTTATGGCCATGTGCAGCTGCCAACGCTAGTGCCAGTCTGATGCTTTCACTCTTTACAGTTGGCACAAATACTTCATCATAGTGCACATTTTTCATCTGTGAAAACCCTTGTGCCGCTAACCATGCTTTATATTGTACCTCATTATTGGGCAGTACTTTCTTTTTGTATACCCACTTGCATCCTACAGCTTTGCTTCCCTGTGGCAAAGTCATAGATGTGAACACCTCATGTTCTCCCATGGATTTCATTTCTTTGTCCATGGCTTCTTTCCATTTTATTTGTTCAATTTTAGGTAATGCCAATACTTCCTTATAGTCTCTTGGCTTCTACCATACATTACGCACTTTAACTTTACTAGCAGAATACCTGTCAGGTGGAATCCCCTTGTTCTCTCTCTCTGACCTGCGTGGCATTGACTGCTCCTGTGTTTCAACCCTCTCTTGCTTTACATCTTGTTCAGCTTCTCCTCCCTGAACGCTGACACAGTCACGAGGTGAGTTACCATCACTAACTGAGTTACTGTCACTAAGTGGATCACTGTCACTAAGTGAATCATTCCAGAAATTTTCATCAATCCTGTTCCAACTTTGCTCTGCAAAGCTAGCAGATCTTGAAATCACTATTCTCTTGCACCCGTCGCTAAAGCGATAACTCTTTGAGCCTGGCTCATAGCCCATAAACCTGAGCTTTCTAGCCTTTGGTTGTTCCTTTCTTCTAATTACTTTTGGAATATGCATCCACACATTGTTTCCAAACACCTTAAATGTGCCAGAGATGGTTTTCTCCCATATAGCACTGCATATGGGGTATCATTAATGGAGGAACTCCACAGCCTATTAATTAAATAATTATCAGTCAATATGGCTTCACCCCAATATGACCTGTTCAGACCAGAATCCTCTAGCAGTGAGTCCTTCATGGTTTGTAAGACTCCATTCCGTCTCTCAGCAACACCATTCTCAGCTGCTGTGTAGGGATTTGTGCATCTGTGTTTTATTCCTAACTGTCCCAACCACTGTTGAAAACTTGTTGACATGAATTCTGAACCTCTGTCAGTTTGCAGCCGACATACCTGTTGTTTATATCTTCTTTCTAGGAAGCTTACCCATTGCTTAAATTTCTGTAGCACCTCTGTTTTAAATAGCAGAACCCAAACCTGCTATACTTAGCTCCTCCCAAACTGGCTTGCATTGGCCCACCTTAAATCTGCATGCACCAGCTCTAGAGCTCTTGTTGTCTGCCTTGTGCTACTCTTGCTCACTGGGAATGCCTTGGACTTTGATTATTTGCATACTGCACAGTCCAAATATGCCTTACATCCCTTTACATGCAATCCTTCTGCAAACTGGTCGATCTTTTGAACAACTTTGAAGCTGGTATGGCCAAGCTTACGGTGCAAAAGATGAACACATGAATCATGTTTTGCCACATCCCCAAATATTTGTGCACAATGAATATTTTGTTCCTGCAACACATAAAGGTTATCTTGCTTTGCACATACAATACCATTGTGCTTTATGAGACACTTCCCATTTACAAATGTGGTCTCAAATCCTTGCTTGTCTAAACTAGAGACACTTAGCAAATTATGCTCCATTTCAGGCACACACAAAACATCATTAAATCTTGTTTCCAGATATGGAATTTCCTGTAAAACAATTTAGAATTAACAATTATTTGACTAGCTCCACTATCAATTAGCCATTGATTTCTCCCATTTTAATTGCTAGCTTTTGCAACAGCAGCCTGTCCATCAGCTAATTGTCTTCCTTGCAAACTGCTTCTTCTGTCTTGCAAATAATTTCTTGCAAAAAAAATTCTCTTTTGCAAACAGTCTTTCTTTAAATGAGTTGTTTCACCACAAATGAAGCACCATCTCTGTTGCTGTTCTGTAATCTCATATCCCTTGCTGCTCTTCTCTTCTCTGGAGACAGCCAGTCTGTGGAATTTTCCATTCTGCTCCTTGGGCCCCCTCCTCAGGGATTTCTCTTCCTGGCTTCTAAAATGGCGTTTATTTTCTTCCACGGTCAGACACGCTTTCAACGCCTCCAAACGCAGTTCCTGCTCTGGTTTGCTTTCAAACACTACAGAAACAATATCCCATGAATTGTCTAGACTGTTCAAAACCAAAAGTACTTTCTGAGATTCTGGAATCTGCATCCCATGCTGTTCTAACTCCACAAACAACATTTGCATGTTCACTAGATGCTGCTCAACAGATCCTCCCAGTTGCAAACTGGCTCTGTATAACTTCCTTGATAATTGCACGATATTGCA